CGGAATGTAGATGGCCCTGATGGACAGCAGGTGGACATGTGTCCAACACAGTAAATCTGTGGCGACACGCAACAGAGGGAGGGATCGAACTCCCCCTTGGCGATTTATGTAGGCTGCCGCCACCTGGTTGTCTGTGTGAACTTCGACATGACGGCCCTCGAGAAGGGCGGCGAAGTGTCTGATCACATTCCTCACTGTCATAAGCTCCAACACATTTATGTGCTCGTGCGTGTGGGAGGGCCAACGATCCGCCACCGTATGGGACAAGCACGTGCCCCCCCACCCCGACAGTGACGCATCCGTAAACACAGATACGTGTGACGCAGGACGTCCGATGGGAACCCCGCGTGAGAGGATGCAGGGGTTCCCCCAGTGAGCGAGGTCCCCGCCCACTGAAGGGGGAATCCTCAACATACGTCTCTTCTGACGTATCGGGTGCACCCGGAGGCGGGTGAACCAACGTTGCAAGCGCCTCGTGTGCAGCAAGCCTAGCGGTACCACAGCGTGGGCTGCGGACATCATGCCCAGGAGTTTCATGACTAACAGGGCTCTCACGATCTTGCGGGGTTGTACACGGGAGATCACCGTGGAGAGATCTGCCGCTCTTGCAGGCGACAAACGTGCTCTCATCAGGGAGGCGTCCAACTCCACCCCGAGATACACAATCGACTGGGATGGAAGAACGGAGCTCTTTTCCCAGTTTATAGAAAACCCCAGGGTCGACAGATGCTCTGTCAACCTCCTGGTTTGCTGTGACGCCTCGTCCTTGGACCGAGCGCACAGGAGAAGATCGTCCAAGTAAAATAAAACCCTCATTCCCTCCGTGCGCAGTGGCTGCAGCGCGGTCTCCAGACATTTGGAGAAGGTGCGCGGGGCTAGCGAGTAGCCGAAAGGGAGGCGATTGAACTGATATTGAACTCCCTTGAACGAAAAACGCAGAAACTTCCGGTGATTCGGAATTACTGGTATGTGGAAGTATGCGTCTTTCAGGTCGATTGACGTGAACCAATCCCCGGGGCGCACATATTCCAGGACTTGCCTCATCGTTAACATGCGGAAATGCATTACTGCTATGGAGCAGTTGAACAGGGACAGGTCGAGAATCGGTCTCATTCCTCCCGACTTCTTCGGTACTATGAAGTAGCGGGAGTAGAAGCCCGAGAGCTCTTGTCCGCGAGGGACTCGTGAAATAGCGTCCTTGGACAGAAGTTCCCGCAGCTCCAGCTCTAGAGCCTGAGACTGTACTTGCGATGTGAACGTCGTCTCCACGATCCCGTTGAAGGGAGGTGGAGTGACCTGAAAATGAAGTGTGTGACCGCAATGAATGGTGTCCGAAATCCATTTGCTCATGATACAAAGGCGGCGCCACTCATGCGCGCGTTCCGACAGAGGACGCGTGTGCGCGGTCACGTGAGCAACGACTGAGGGTTGTGCATGCGCCCTTACCGCCGTTGCCCGTACCAGAGAACTGGGGGCGACCCATGGAGGGCTGCGCTCGAAAGGGCGGGTGCGAAACAGCTGGAACAGGCTGGTCCGCACCGCGGAGCGTGGAGTCCGAGAGTGAAGGACGAGTGGGAGCCGAGCCTGTGCACGGGGGCGACAAAGTGCCAGCGGGTGAAGCCGCGCACTGTGCCGCCGCGCGTGGTCGAGACAGCGACCTGACATCTCGCCCCACCCGACGATGGGGTGAGAGTTGGGCCCGGCCGGATGCTGGGGCCGGAGCGCAAATGGAGCGCACCCTTACGGTTGGCCGTATATTATGACTGCCTGCAGGAACATGTGTGCGTGCAGCAGTGCTTGGTGTGGGGAACATGTGTGAGAACTCGGCAGGGGATTCTGCGGAGGACTGTAGGATTGTGCTCTTTGAGTGACATGTTTTGGGTTTTATTTCAAAACCAACATCAACATTACAATCATGTACACACACATTCCCCCCAAAGAGTCACTTCCGTGGCTGCTTTCGGCGAGGCTCGTGCACCTGGGACTGCCAAGACGGCGTCTGCTGGCCCCGCCGGAACCGTTGCCCGCCATCTCGCTGGTCCCGCTGATGTGGAGCCGAAGCGGGAGGCCGGCTCCGTGGAGCAGACGGTGCAGCTGGGCGTTTGAAGCTTCCGCGCCGTTCGTCCCATCCTCTGGCAGAACGGCCGGAGTGCGAGGCTGACCGAGGGTGAACCAGGTCTCGTACCGTAGCCGATAGTTCGGCCGTCTTCTGAGCCCTCTCAATGACGCCCCTAAGATGGGGACCAAACAGAACATCGGTGGTGATGGGGCCGTCCAGCATCTCCCTTTGCAGATGCTCCGGAATGGAGGGCAGGGCCTTGAGCCAGATCGCTCGCTGGATGAGGGTCTGCCAGGCAGCGATGCGAGCAGAACCGGTGAGCACAGCAGCACACAAATTGAGGATAGCATCAGCAGTTTTAGTAATGACGGCCTTCGACTCCTCGGGGGCTTCCAGCTCCTCCATCATCCTCGAGACGCCGAAGGCAAGGAGGGCGATGTTATTCCCTGCAGCGCCGGTCTGAAAGGCACACTGATGTGCGCGGTCGGTGAGCCGCGTCAGCAGCTGGTCATGTTTTGAAGCGGGAACATCTCGCTGGCCAGCGAGGTGGTTCTTGGCGCCAAACAGCGAGGCCAAGTCCGGCTCTAGCGGGGGAACGGACGGCCAGCCTTGGTCGGAAAACCCCTCGACCTTGGTGATGGGCGCAAAGGTGGAGACTGGTGCCTTGAGCTTGGCAGGCTCGGAGAAGGCGGCAGACCAGCAGCTCATAGCAGCAGGGAAGCGCGGCCAAATAGGGTCTAGACAGCGTGTCTGAGTTGCCCCGAAGATTCCCGCCAAATCATCCGCTTCAGGCGGGGCTGGTTCTGGCACAGCTAGCCCCTTGTGGGCTGCTGCCGCAGAAATGATGGCGGGCAGCTCCTGGAGCAGTGCTCTTACTGCTGGCAGGGAGGAACGAGAAGCCACTGGGGCAGAAGGACCCGCTGGGCGGAGCTCATATACCTCCGTTATGTCTAGGAGGGATGCCGCCTCGTCGTAGTTCTCGCTGTCGGTGACGTCATCCAGCCGGTTGAAGCCAGCCGGCTCCTGACCGGCGTCGAAGAAATCCAACGCCTTGTCCAGCGGGTACGAGTCAGCCACCGGAAATTCTTCGTCGGCGGCGGGAGTGAAGTACTCGACCCGGCGAATCTTCTCTGCCACGGGCAGAGCGGCACAGAACGGGCACGAGGCCTGCGGGGTCAAGGCCAGGCCAGCGTGGTGAGCCCCGAGACAGACCTCACACTTAGCGTGCAGGTCTCCGCTGGAAATGGAGCCCGACTGGCAGGTCGGGCAGGGTCTGGCGTCGCTGGACATGGCTGGTAAGTCTTCTCGGATAATCTTGCTCTTTCTGGATAAATTTGCTCTTTAAGAAGCTCTCAGCTTGGCATGAAGAGAAAAAGGAGGCGAGCAGTGGGGTCACTGCGGTTATATACCACGAGGGGGCCCACTATTGGTGGGCGTACATTTAAGCTCTTCATGATTGGCTGATGCGGAGATCATCCTTCCAATAGCAGCTCGCTTAAGGGCTAAGACTAGACGAAATAGAACTTACAGTTTTCCAAATCAACCTTGAGTTTCTGTATCATCTTTTCTTTAACACATATTTGCCCTTTGAGACTGGTTCTCTTTTTTTTAAGTGCACGAACTGTTTTATTTAAAGTCGATTTTTTTGATGTGAGCGTTTTATTTTCCTTGATGGTCTGAATTCTATCTTTTAGGGTCCTTTGATCAAGAGTCATTTTGTTCAGTTTTTTATCACATATTTTAAGAGATTTATTCTCCTGTTTGAGTTCTTTAATAGATTCCTCCTGTTGCGAGATCTTGTTTCTCAAACCAGCTATCTCTTCATTTGCTTTTTGAATTTTAAAGTCATTATCTAAAGCTTTTTGTTTCATATCTTTTTCATACTTCTCATTCGATTGTAATTTTTCGGTAGCTTGTTTCTCTTTCAGTAACAGAATTACTCGTTCATAATCCGTGACTTTTCGAGATAATTCATTTCTTTCCCTCTCCAGTTCCTTGTTGCGTTTAAATAATTCCACGTAAGAGGCAGGCATAGTTGATTTCTGACAATCCGATTTGCTATGTTCAAAGATGCGACTCCTTTGACGTACAAAGGTGGTTTGATCTCATGACAGCTTTGGGACTAAAGATCAAGGGCTTAGCAAGCGCACGTACAGACGTGCACTGTACGGTTTCCTATTTTGTGTCTCAAACTATTCTTCCATCCTTCCCAACCAGTGTCAGAATTGTTCTCCTTCAGACAGGGATGCTTTTCAACTAAAGCTTTTGCAGCCTTTCCAATCTGTGTGCTACTAGGATATGCCTTCAGTTTAAAAATTTTCTTCCCCCATTACCTCGAGTATGTTGTGTTTTTGATCTCTAGGAAGTCTAATTATTTTCCCATCTTTTTCAAATGCTGCATTACCTTCCTTTAGCACATGTTCCACCTCATAAGAAAATTTTGGAACAATAAAAACCTCTGGCCACCGACTAATACGCTCTGGTGAATCTATGGCATCAGTGCTATCGTTCAGAAGACTTGTCTCACTAGTGCTGGTTGAAATCAAGTCCAGCTCCACTAATCTGATTATTTTAACCGATGCTGTGCTTGGGAGGTGTTCCATTTCAACCAAATTACACAATGCATGATCAAAATCTGGATCTTCAAACTGAAGCCTAAAGTCAAAAGTCAACTTTAGCCTAGTTTTGATTTCATCTATGAGGGCCTGTACACTGCTTGGGCGAGATGGCAGAATAAGTCTTTCAGCATTATCATTATCAAGGATGACCCTTAGCTTCAGTCTCTCTGTTGCCTCCATCTGAAGTTGTAGGTCCTGTAACATACAGGATTCAAATAATATAGCGACATTTCAACACACTCAGAGTTCTCATGCCATGTATGCATTACCTGTACACTGGCAGAAGGGCTGGGGAGATCCGCTGATATTTCAGTTCTGTTTCTTTAGTCAGACACTGGAATGAAATGTTTTGTTGTTAGAATTAGTTCATTTGCAATCTTATAAGCAAAATGTGGCAGGTGGTCAGACAGCTGGCACACAGATTTGACACTATGACTCTCCGGTATATGCTCGACTAGTTCGTATGACCTCAAGTGCTCAACATACAAAGTGTCGTAGTCTTTTAAGAGAAAATGCATTTTGTCGCTGATGAGTAGGATGTTTCGAATCTCTTTGAACTCTGGCAAGGCTGCATAAGCACCAGTACATACAAACATGCCAATTGCAAAGCTTGTGCCATCAATTGAGATATTTTTTGTTCCATAAACTGTGTCACTGTCAACAATACCTGAGATAAATGATTGTGTATCTGCAGGTAGTGATGAGATGTACATAGACTCCATTTTGGATGTCTGAACATGTGGTTTGAAAAACTTTGAGGATGACAAATAAAATGCCATCTGACTTTGATGTCGCTCTGCCAAAGTTTTTAACACATTTTTGTAGTTGTGAGTGTCATGAATAATTTTTTTGAAAACCTTATGCTTTCCCTCAAATCTCATTGTCCAAAGGTGGACCAAGGGACCAAAGCATTTTATCAAGTGTGGGTAATGCTCGATGTAATGATGCTTTGGCCTTAATCGAACATTAGGAAACACTTCTTGGAAGAGTTGCCGGTGGTCCAATATTTTACAAGCCAAGTACTGAATGGTCTCTTCATTAAAAATCTGAGACATGGCAAGCTGAACGACATCCTTTAACTCCATTAGCACTTCCCAAAACGTGTCTCTTTCTGGGACTTTTGAGCCAATGAGAAGAGGCAACATTATAAGCAGGGCATGATTTTCATGAGCATTCCCACCAATGGTCCCTCGACTGGCAAAATTAGTGGGTATTGGATGAGGGCGATCAACTTTGTCAGAATGTTGATATGGAAAGTGCAATATTGCTCGATTTAAGTCTTCTAATGTAAAATATTTACTGGAAATCAAACCTTTTAAGCAATGAGCTATCTCCACTGGAACAACGCCTTCAAACAGGTCGTGCAGGAGGTCAGGTGGGAAGCCTGTGACAGGATGGAAGAATGACAGATGGTCAGAAAGAACACAACTGTTTTTGACACCACAATTTCCCTCACTGCCATCGCTCTGAAGCTCTCGTAAAAGATTGTCATGAAGATCCTTTGTTCTCAGCACATAATCCCCTGTAACTGCATTTTTTGTCTGCATTTCTATTTGTGTGGCATGACAAAACCTGCAGAAATGTGTAGACCTGAAGCTCTCATTGAACCCAGCAAGCCCATGTGCGGCAAGGTTATCTGCCACAACACAGTAGACAGTGCCTTTAAGACATTCACCAAGGGTATCAATGTAGATGCCTACTTCTTCAAGAGTTTTCAGATCATTTAAGAGTGGTGACATCATTTTCTTAAACCCAAACAGGCGCACATCATTAGAGTTGCACAGGAGAGCAAGCTGAGTGCAGTGGAGAGCAGAACGGGATTTAACTGGAAAGTTTGCCAGTGTCCAATAAACTGCAAAAACTTTATGTATTTTCTTTGAAGTACCGAGTGGGTTTGCAATTTCAAAATCATCCACATAAAGCATTATCGAAAGTTTTGTTCCCTCTTGTGAGAGTAGAACATTTTCCCGGTAGTAGGATCCATCACAAAATGACATGAAATGTCCAGGTATCTGAGTGGGTGTTTGTTGAACTTTTTCAAGGACTTCGGTTTTTTTCAACAACATTTGCAAAGATGTAAGAATTGACACATACATGTATGTGTGCTTTGATGATTCAATTAAATACTCCACAGGCTTGACATACGGAAAGTTTGCTTCATAGTAAGATTTTCTCATCTTTGCTGTTGACAGTGGTCCACCAGATGTGATACATTTATGTAAAACATTACTATCAGAAACTGCCTGACAAATGTCATCGACCAGTTTGTCAGTATATAGACAGTTATGCTTCTTCAGTATATCAACTACTGATTTTTTAATGAGAGGTTCTGTTAACAAAAACAGGTGATCAATGTGCTCAATGATAGGGCTGTAGCGAAGCCTCGACGAAGTCGACGGCTCGATTCTAAAAATTTGTCGACGTCAGATCCGGAAGTCGACACACCGCGCCCACTTGTTGCATCCCCAGGAGTTTGTAAATAGAGGAGGAATCTGCCCGTTTTTCCTCTAGTTCGCCCTCTTCTCCGCCTTCACTAAAATCTCCGCCAAATACCGAAGACCCGGAACAACGTCCGTCCACTACTAGATTATTTTCCTGTTTTGCCCCTTCGTCTCCCGGCAACGGACAACAACTTCCGGGGTCAGATGCGCTGCTTCGTGTCTATCGCAGATGTAGAAAATCACCGGGAGCGCTTCTCCCGCCATTAAGGAGCTTCTTTCAGACATGAGGAGAGCTGTTTTGGTGGTAGCAGTCTCTCCTCCGTGCTGGTCTGTTTGCTGCTGGGTGTTTTTGGTTTATTTAAACTTGGTAACTTGAACTTAACGTTGGTAAAGCTACTGTTAGCATCTTCGCTAACAGCTTCTTGCGTTGGGATAAGCTGTTACGTTTTGGTTTAGAGTTCATCTTTTTTGTGGTGTAGATCTCCCTTTTATTACATTTAGAGTGTTGTGGGTTTTCGGTTTAGTGTAAAATATCACCTGAGTTTGGTTTAACCCGTAAGACCACTCGCCTCACGCACATAAGTGACCAAAACAAAGCAGCATGGAGACACTCCATCTTCTACCACCTCTCAGGCAGCAGCCTGCACTCCCAAGTTCTACACGTCACCAGAACATAACCAACCGCAACACAATAAAAGCAGTGTTATACAAAATGGAAGGCCTGTAGTGTTTATTCTCTTACAGTAAGAATTTATCAATTTTTTTGAGGAATTGATTTGAGATTTTCTGGTTTTTGTTAATTGTGCAATAGAAAAATAATCATTAGATTAATTTTCTAAATAGTCATTAGAATAGTCGACTATTCGATAAAATAATCGTCAGAATAATCATTTTAAAAATAATCGTTTACCCCCAGCCCTACTCAATGATCTGTGTTGCTCTCTGGGACACATGGAGAATGCTCTGCATTTTCAAGAAAAAGCCAGCTAGATTGTGCTGCAACTGCTCTTCTAAACCGTCAGTTGTACTCATTTCACTAGTGGATGCCACTTCACTTTCATCTAATGGTTCTACTGAATCAAGCTGCATAACATCCTTTTGGCCTACATTTAGGACACTTTGCACAATGCCTTCATCATAATGTGCTGAACTTTGGTGTTCTCGGCATTTGTGCACATTGAATGTTGAGTATACATTGGTTTTAAAATTGCAGCCCTTGAAAGGACATGGAACCATTTCTTTCAGTTTTAAATGCCCCCTCAGATGGATAAACATTTGCCTTTCAATAAATGGCTGCTTAAAGTTACACACAGGGCAGCAAAATCCATAATTATTAAAAGCTGGATTTGAATGGTCTTTTCTTTGTGTAGCAGTATGTATTCTTGACATATGTACCTTTAATGAATTAAATGTACTAAATGTACACATGCAGGTGGTGTAGAGACAGGGTAAAGGTGAAATTGTGGAGTACTGGCCATGGTTAAGCCGGTAATGTTTCAGCAACATGACTTTTATCGCAGTAGAAAAACTACACAACTTGCAATTCCACATTTTGTCATAAATCAAAGGGTCCCCAATAAGATGTCAAGTGTTTTATATCACCTTCACTGGCCGTTTTTAGGTGTTTTATAACACCTTCACTGGCCGTTTTTAGGTGTTTTATATCACCTTCACTGGCCGTTTTTAGGTGTTTTATATCACCTTCACTGGCCGTTTTTAGGTGTTTTATATCACCTTCACTGGCCGTTTTTAGGTGATGAAAAGCAGTGGATGATCTCTCCTTGTGCGCAGCTTCTTCAGTCAAAACACTGTAATGTCACAGAAAACAAAAATGTTAATGTATTTTGGCAAGTGAACAGAAAGCCAGCAAGACAAGACTACAACAAAATATGCTGAAGTTGAATGGCAGGAGTTTCAAAAAACAGTTTATTGAGTAAATGATAAAATAGTCTTGCTTAATGTTATGTGATGGACAGAAGACGGAAGCTGCCGAGCTCCGAGGGTGTGGTGATTGGACACCAGCTGGTCCTCGTTATGGATAACGAGGCCAGGGAGGATAAAAGGGTGACAGACCTACTGAGAGGGGTGCGTGGTCGACCTGTCATTGTGGCATCGGACTTTGGAGGGGGTGGGGTCGTTCGCAGCCGGGTAGGGCTACCGGCGACGAAGATAGCTGAACAGGTGTTTAGTGTTCCAGCGCCAGGAGGGAAGGCTGGTCGCCTTCTTTAGACAGTTAGGGCTGGGCATAGGTGATGCCAAGGCCGCGCCGACATATGCCGCTACGGACTCTGGCAGTGGACTTATGTTGTGGATTTACCCGCCGTCCTCGCAAGCTACACCCCGGGGCGTTGGAAGCTCAGACCCCGGGGACGGGGGTCACACCATCCGTGACAGCTAAGTACCGCTGCTTATGTGACTCATGCTGGACAGTTGGTTTTAGAAGAGAGGGCTTGGGCCATGGTGTTTTATCGTTGTGTTTTATTATTGATTGTGCAATAAAGTGTGTCTTTTATAAGTCGTTGCCTACTGGTGGTGTGTTCAGGTTCTGACCGGAGGGCAAGATATTCTGCCCGTGCTGCCCACGGCTACTTTTATTACAGTTAGAATGAAATTAATCTACCCTTTTCACACATGTGGTGTAAAAAATCCTTGAATGTTACAAAGTGCAGTCAGAAATTACTAACAATAATTTAAACGTTAAGTTTTATGTCATTAATTTTGGAAAAAGTTTCAGCACTTAGTTTTTACTAAAATGGCGCCCATGGTTATATTTAAATTTTTTACCAGCGGTCTTGTCGAATACTCTAAAATGAATTGTACATAAGGACTAGAAAAAGTTACGCTATAAATGTCTAAACTTACTTTACTGTGTGAAGCTTTAAAAAGATAGACTAGCAACAACCATCTAACTAAAATAAGCCACCAACCGTTATATTTTAAATCAATACAGGCGGGTATCTTAAATGAACCATGTAAAGAACACAAGAACTAGAACGTTAAGATAGAAATTAATACACTTTATTTTACAATTTAAAGTAATATGAAGTTAAGTTCAGTGAAAGGGTAGGTTAAACTAAACTAAAATATAACTAACCGTTACTTTTTAGATTTGTACAGGCGGGCATCTCAAAGGAACCATGTAGGCTGTGTTAAGAAAACACGAGGACTAGAAAGTTCAGATTGGAATTAAAAAAACGTTATTTTACTCTTAAAGATAATATAGTTAAGTTCTGTGCGATGTAGCTTTGAAAATGTAGGTGGTAACAACTACCAAAAACCGTCAAATTTAAGGCGGGCTTCAAACAATCAGTCTCGAGTTGAGCTAGCAAGCTCCGTTTTTCTACACATCAGCTAAGTAGTCTGATTAACCTGCAACGTCTGTTCAAGCATTTAAACAAAAACACAGTTACCTTGTAATTCTGGCAATGTGGTTAAAATTCTCCTCCGTGCCGAAAAATGCCTCTAATGGCCGCTGGCGCTGCTGTTGTCGGTGGCATAGCACCCAGAGCTGTGTTAGCATCTCCGTGTGCAAGGCTCAGTGATGACGTAGGAAAAGCAAAAGGGAGGGGTTATTTTTTTGTTTGAAATGAGCGACCTCAACTTAAACAGTTTAAAAGCACATTACTCCAAAGAAAAGATAAACACAATTATACTAATTATGAATGAGTTTTAACATCACACTGTTAGTTTGGGGTTTTAACTAATTGTATAAAAGTAAGTATAACTATTTAGCTAAAGTGAGTGAAAATAACTGACATAATTTTAGTAAGAAGCACTATTGGGAATTACAGTGCAGCGTATCCAGTTATTGAACCTCGCTCTAGCAGACAAGGATGCTTCTTGATGAGGGCCTCTCCCACGCAGCTGAACTGGTTATCAGTTATGTATAGTCCATAACAAACAATTTCTTGAATAAGACAATCCAGAATGTTTGACAGTAATTTACAGTCTGGGATAAGAAGTGTTTTTATCTCCCTGTATTCAGCATTAGCTTTTTCAAGTTTGAACTCAGAATCAAATGCAAACTTTGGCACACAAAACTTGGCTGGCCATTGCAACCTTGAAAGTGACTGCTCAGACTCGGCAGGAGGAAGGTGCTCTATGTCAGGACAGCTCACACCAGAAAAACTTGAAGCTGATCTTTTCTCTACAGCTTGTGGTCACATCCAGCGGTTAAGGAAGAAGACTGGGAAAACCCAACTTCGGAGAGATCAACTACCTTAATTGTGCCTCTGTTTTGTAGTTCAGATGTTGATGTCAGATTAATAAAGTCATTGTCAAAGAGTGAATCCATAATTGTAATTTGAGGTTGTATGTCAGTCCACACTGACGTTGCACTTCCTCCATCAGCTCTGGAACAGACTGAGGAAGTCCATTTGAAAGTATTAGCCTCTGGCTAGTGTTATCCACCAGGATAACTTTCAGTATGCAGGGTGAATTCATTGTTTTCAATCTGAAATGACAAAAAGCACATAATAAAAAATCTACAAATAGTAACATGTGTCACAAAATGATATAAAATCTGATGTAAAAGCACACAGCACAATAAAAAAAATTAATAATAGATGCCCCGCCAAAGGTCATACGTGACCGAAACACGTCGATTTTCTTGATCTAATAATAGGAGGGTTCCTCGGATCACCAATTTCCCCCCAGTCTACATCCCAAAATAAATAATAGTTTTCACGTTGATCTAATAGCTAGGGATGCTCTGATCAGGTTTTTTGCTGCCAATCACCAATACAGATCTCAGATACCTATCACTGATACCAATCACAAGGATGAGACATGTTCACAATGACTGAGAATCTACATGCAGCAAAGCATGAATGATTCAGTCAGAATAAAGCTGGGCAATTAGGCCTAAAATTGGTGCATAGCCCTGGATTACTCAACTAGTGGTTGCGAAGTGTCTTTGAGCCACTACAGTCGAGGCCACACCTCTTCCCAACAGCAGGGCGACGCCTCGGGCCGCTCGCAGGATGTAGTCTAACGTGACCTGTACCTCATTGATGAGGGGGGTCTGTGGGCTGTCGGGTGGGACCCTTGCTCCAAGGTCTGCCAGACAAAGTGTGGGCAGTGGAGGCCTGCACGCGGTGCAGATGAGAAGAGGCATAGTCTGTCCGCTTACTCTATTATTGCAGGTCGGGGCCAGGTAAGCCGCACGAGAGGGCTCCATTGGAGGGAGGTTAACCAATCCTGCCATTTTGGTGTCGTCGAGGCTCAAAAACTGACCGTAACCCGGGACTGAGGTGCAGGTGGATAGCGGCTTGGCCTAGGATGCAGTGAGCTCAGCCACAAAATCCAGGTACAGTGGTAGAAAGTTCTTTACTAGGGCAGAACGATCTATCGTTTTTGACCGAAATTGCGATTTCAAACAGCACGATCACGTGACCGTCAAAGCTGGGGTTTTGACTGATCCAGGATCAGTTGTGTAACTTTTTTTTTCTTCTTTTTTTACATCTGAAGTTTTCTCTCTATTATGGCGACGGCAAATGCCAGCGCAGGGGAGGGGAGTGGGATGTACCATCCAGAACCGAGCCCAACTCCACAGCTGACAGAGCTGCATGTTCAGCTTATTTTCCCTGTTTTATGTTTCCACACACAGCGCTGCTAGAGCCGATAACAACGGCACCGTAGGTGAGCCCGGGACAGAGCGAGATAGAAAACATAGTTGAGTAATGGAGAGAGAGACTCCTCCCACATCGGAGCAGGTTCAGGCTGATTTCTAAAGCTTGGTTTATGCTTAATCAGCGCGAGTGCAGAGTCGCGCATTCTAATTGACTTGAAAGCTCAACTTCTCTTTTAAAAATGGTTTGAATGTTTCTGATGGCACACGTAAGTTCAAACAAGCTAAGGTGTCAGAATGCGTGCTTGAATGCGTATCAAACGGCTTTGTAAAACGTGCAGCCAGCCTGCCTTGGTAATGCAGGAAAAACTGTGTGCATTTGTTATTTAATACATTTAAAAGCTATTTCTACCTACAGATTTCCTCCATGCATTTTTGGCGTAGAACATGTTTCATAAAGCTCCTCTCTAGATAAAAAGCACAAACACAAGTTGCTTCACAAACACATTAAAAAATTAATGGGAGAAAATATTAATAGCTTTAACTGTTTTATTGTATGATTAAATAGTAAATATAAATGTGAATGATTTGTTGTACTAGATTAGAATCTAGACCATATTTTCACTTAATCTGCAGGATTGCTTGGCAGGCTAATGTTGGACCTTTGTTTGCAGAAAATCGTGAATAGAACCGAAATCGCAATTTCTGCTAGAAAAATTTCAATTCAGTTTTTTGTTAAAGTCATTCAGCCCTATTCTTTACCTCTGCTGGTTTTGAGGGGAGGTAAAACCCAGAAAAGTGGGACCTCTTTTGTGCAGGTGCAGGAGCGGGCCGGTCTACTTTGAGCCTCTCCGCTGCACGCCAGCAGAGCGGGAGAAAAGAAGTGTAATTTCGTAGCTCGGAGGCTGAGGTAGCGCCTGGAGCTGCACACACCACCGCTAAGAAGACCTCCTCGTCCTCGAGTAGGTCATGACCATAAGAGCAAATGTCCAAAATGTCTCCTTCATCCTCTTCCAGAGGAGGAAACTGAGAAGCCTCTAGGTCTGGTCCGGTTAAATTGTCCGTCATCTCCATCTGATCTGCCCAGCTAATAGCGGGGACATTGATCGCTAGTCTGTCCACGTCAGAGCCGGGCGAAGCCGGGGCTGAACGGGAAAGCATGGGGTCCTACTGCAGCGTCCTACTGCAGCGTCTCCCGGGAGACATTTTAGAAACTTTACGTGCCATTCGAGCGTGGGACGGCAGAGTTGGCGACAGAACTCGCATGCCTCCGGGTCTACAAGAGCTCTCCTGATGTGGAGAATTCCCAGACAAACCGGGAATGCTTCGTGTAGGTCCTTCTTGTGAAGAGAGAATCCACAGTCCTGAAGACAGGGGTGCGAAGCGGCTTTCAGTGAAGCGATATCCAACGCGGTGCTCATTGCAAGACACACAGTGGAGTGGTACACCTGATGGAACAAAGGCAAACAAGCTGAAAAGCCATGAAAGATAGCACTCGGTGGGCGAGAACGCTAGCCAGAAGGCAGTAGAGTCCAGTCAGCGAGCGGTTAAGCTATCTTTCACTAGCGCAGCTGCTTCTTAGGTTTGTTCTCAGTGAGGTGAAGAGCGTAAGAACCGGGGAATGACAGTGACACGGTTGCAGAGTCATTAGCCTTACAGGCATGATTAGATGAGTATTCAGCCAGGCCACACGAGGGTGTGATGTCCCATAGTACCTTTGTTGTACCGAGTCAATCGATTAAAAGGGAACTGCTGCACACATTCACAACCGAACGGAGAGGAAGAGTGATGCTGCACACAAGGTCTCTGCCGGCTACAAAGTGGCGATGAGTGACAGGTGATTGGCTCTGAAAGGCATGGATTGGAATTTGTGACCATGTTTCACAAAAATTGACAGATTTTGATAATTGGTTGATTGATTGAAACATCCATAATGATGGCCCCTGAATATTAATTATGGTTTACTTGATAACTAGTTTAACTCATAGAAACTGATAGACATACTAATTAACAAACCTTTGAAGACAATGTGCCTTTTTAAGGCCACCATACGTCTTGAGCCAACAATATAATCCGCCAGTGGATAGATATCTGCCAGATCTTTAAGCTGCACAAGCTTTGTCTCTCTGGTTGGTGAAGGGGTTATTTCGAAGGCTCTGTAGTGGTCAGTGTACCATCCATGTAGCAATCTCACAATGAGGATCAACTCATTGGCAATGACACACATTTGAATGATCTCAGCAAACTCCGGCATACCACCAGCTGACCCATGTACAACTATCATGCCTGTGTTGTACTGTATACCTTTCATGGATGCAACCTTAGCTAAATGGATTTCAGTTGTTTCAGGGTACTTAGATTTGATAAGCAAAGCTATTGCTTGATTCAAAAGATCTACTGGAAATGAGGACACATTGGGTACATGAAGAGAAGCTTTACCACAGGAGGGTGGGTTTAGGTGAAATGCTATCATGAATTGGTGTCTTGAAGCCAGAGTCAGTGGTATGTTTTTATAACAACTAGTATGCTTCACAATTTGTTTAAAGTAGCTATGTTTAGCTTCAAACCTCAGTGCCCAGACAGTAACTAAAGGACCAAAACACCTTATTAAATAGGGGTAATGTTCCAAAAAGTGGTGCTTTGGTAGAAGTCTAGCTGTTTGAAACAGGTCCTGGTATCTGTGTCTGTGCTCAGTTATCTTGCTTTCAAGGTAGGAAATGGATTCATCAGTATGAGTCGGAGCAACAATAAGTTCCACGATATCTTTTAAATCCATTAACACCAACCATGCAGGTTCATATTCAGGCACCAAATGCCCAATCAAAAAAGGTAGAAGTCTCAACAAACTCCAATTTTCGTGGGCATTGCCCCCCACAGTTTTTCGAGCAGATACATTTTGTGGTAAGATGTGAGGTTTATTTGTCTTATCTGACCACTTATAAGGGAAGGCCAATATTGCTTTATTGAGATCATCAACAGTAAAATGCTTTTTTGAAATCAATGCTGACAAACAGCAAGCCAAATCCACCGGTACAACACCCTCAAACTCATCATGGGCTACATCAGGAGGGAAACCAGTCAGAACATGGAAATAAGTAAGGTACTTAGTGAAAATACACTCTTGTTTAACTCCAAAACAATGGTTATTTGTCTCAAGAGCTGTTTTTATATGCTCTTGATGCTGTTCTTTAGTTCGCAAACCAAAAGCACCAGGGGCAACTGTGTTAGACTCAACATCACATCGCTTAGCTGTGCAAAATCGACAGTAGAAATCGCCTGAAATGTTTTGAATAAAGCCTGCAATACTGTGGGCTCCTTGAGTTATCTGCTATAATACTCTGCACAGTTCCTTTAAGAGAAGAGCCTAACAAAGGCAGGGTTTCCCTTACATAGGCGTAGCTGTGGCGGCCCGCCATGGCTGAAATCCCACCGCCACGCCTACAAGATCCCAAGTTTTTTTGGGTTTTTTTTGCGCTGTCGAGGTTAATATTTGATGGAGATGAAGAGAAGTATGAATTGTGGGAGACAAAGTTTCTAGGTCACCTCCGCCTCCAGGGATTAAAAGACGTGGTCCTGAAAACCGAGGATGAAGACGATGAGAATGAAGATGATGTATCGAAAAATGCAGAGGCTTATGCAGAGCTAATACAGTTTTTGGATGACAAAAGCCTGTTATTGGTGATGCGGGATGCAGCAGATGATGGGCGGAAAGCCCTGGCAATCCTGAGAGATCATTATGCAGGTAAAGGAAAACCTCGCATTATAAGCCTGTATACGGAGCTGACGTCGTTGCAGAAGTTGGACAGCAAGAGCATTACGGATGATGTTCTGAGGGCAGAATCAGCCATTTCCGCATTAAGAAATGCCGGTGAGACACAAAGTGATGGCCTGCTGATTGCCATGGTTTTGAAGGG